AAATGTCAGAAGGCTCCAGAAAAGCTACGCAGCCACTGCCTGCTCTAGACATGGGGAAAAAAAAGACGATGCACACACAGACTTGCTACTGCATGGGATGTAGCAGCAGGAAACAGTTTAGCGCAGTCTCAGCGGCCCCAGTGTGCGCCGTATGGACAGGATGTATCTCACAGAGAAGAACAAACAAACTGCACCTGAGTCCCTGGTGGAGTTAAGAATGTATTTTCTTTTGAACTTTGGTCATCGTGACAGCATAATGTTACTCCAGATGCTTTCATCAGACATTGAGAATTAAAGTTTTTGTTTTTTTTCAGCTGAAGATGAATCTCTGGAGTAAACTTAATGTCTTTGGTGACGACATCAACTGTTCTGCTGTGTGTTGTGAAAACAGAGACTGTTTTTTCTTTTTTATTCCAAATTAATGATCTGATTGCTGCTAATAAAAGCAGGTTAAGCCACAATTGGAACAACGTCTTTATGACAAAGCATCACACATGCTTACATCTGTCACTAAACACTAATTATCACAAGTGACAATGTATTTTATTAGGATTTTTGGTGATATGCTAGCACAAACAGGAACAGGAAATGAAATCGTTCAAACCATCACTCCCCAAAAAGTGAGTAAGGCACAACTGTAACCCTATGAGTACATGCACATGCACCAACACTGACGGGTCAGAAAAAGAAAAAATTAATCAAAGAAGCTCCTAGAAAACTCATTGTGATTTTTAAGAGCTTTTGGAGAGTTCCACAACTCAAGATGGGAGAATCTGTTGAAAGGGCAATTAATCATGCACTTAAAACTTCCCTTTGACGAAGAGAGGCTGAAAGAAAGCCATAAAATCCCATTTTCAGTTTGTCACAACCCATAAAGGGGACTTTAAACACAAGGCGCTCTGACTGGAAGAGACCAAAATATTACTTTTAGAATACAATAAGATGTGAGCCTTTTTTTCAGTAGGTACTTGTTTATTGAGTTATGTTTTAATTATGTAAAGCACTTTGATCTGCCTCCTTACTGAAATGTGATATACAGGTAAAGTTGACTTGATTTAATAAATTCTGTAAATTTTTGGCAAAAATATAGAGGCTGCTAAAGATGCAACTCTAGAAAACAACCCTAAATATACAGACAGGACAGTAATGGAATGATTTAGGTTGTGTTTTACAATGGCTTAGTCAAAGTCCAGAAATAAAGTCAGTTGAAAATCTGCAGCAGGACTTGCATAACACACTTTTCAGAGAATTATTCATACCATCTTATTAAGCACTAGCTTGAGTTGGTAGCATAAAGCATAGTTACTTTAGTGTAACTCGTTTTTTGTGGTAGAATAAAACATTGTTTTGAAGGTTTTATTAACTTTAAGTGCATGGCGATCATTCAGTGGAGAGTTAAGGGGTTAATTCAGCCAGGCTTTATTAGCACAGGATACCTCCGGATTAGGTGTAGGTGCAGAGGGTGGAGTGAAGCACAAGGAGGGATAGAGGAAGGGAAAAGTCACGGACAGGAAGAGGCACTGAGAGGAATGTGTTGGTCAAGAGGATATAACCATACGTAATGACCCATTTATTTATTTATTTGTTCTCTCTTAAGAACATTCTGCCGTGTGAACAAGACAAACACAACAATAGACACATAGCTACCTGTGGTGGTACTAAACCCTTTGTGATACTGCATGTAGTTTCCTCCAGAGGTGAAAAAAGAAAACCTTCAGATAAAGTCTTTGAGGGCTTGTTAAGTGGTTTGTCAGCAGCTTTGGTTTGCACGAGCAGAGTGTTCACTCCCCCGCCCAGACAATGCAAAGTGCGGATCAGCTGGCAGATTAAAAGATAGCTGACCAAGGCTCTAACAATGAACCTTTGACTTCAAATTGTCAAACATGTCACTGATTAGGTATTTCTGCTGCTTGGCAAATATGGCCAAAAAGACGTCATCAGGAGGAAAGAGCTGATTAAAGGACGGCGAAAGATAGAAAAAGAAAAGGCGTCTGTGTGAAGCTCTTTCTGCAAAGCTTGAGTGCTTCCTGTCTCCCTTAAGCAGCTCAGAGCACAAAGCATGACTGCACTGTCAATACACAAATCATCTGACAGAAACCTGGCATTATCTAGACAAAATACGGCTTCTTTTCACCAACAAGCATCACTCCATGGTTGTAAAATAAAACATATTTCAGTAAATCTATAAAACAGGGGCTGGATGTGTTAATGAATGTGTGGATTGTGTTGGGTTGCTTCTTTGCGGCTCCACTGCTGGCATCCTGTTCTTATTTCACATCAGCATCTCCACCCAAATGGTCTGTGTGGGTGGTTATTATTGAGGTTATGCTCATGATAAAACTGCCAGAACGCAATGTTCACAGCAGAGACAGTCAGATGGCTCAACCTGGTGATTTTGGCTGGTTTGTGTTGTGGCTTGTGGGTCGTGCTTCTTGTGACAGTTCTCAGACTCCACGTCTCACAACACTGTAGAGCAATTATATTAGGGGATTTATCCAAAAGATTATTAACTTTAGTGTCCAGCAAAATAATCCATACAACTAGAAGTTTTTCATATTTTGAAAGATTTTAAGCATAAACGTCAATGCATTTTATTGTAGAGGATCTAAACAAAGTTCAGAAGAGGAAGGAAAATAACTTGCGGTTTTAAATGGAAGGTTTTACATGTGTGGCAGACATATGTCCTTTAACCTGCAATAATAAATAAAATGTGGTGCAGAAAGTTGCAGTCAGAACAAATAAAATCCTCTGGCAATTAATTTGACCTTCAAATGACCCCATATGTCCAGGAAAGCTCTCATCAGTTGGTTAAAACATATTAGGAGAGAACATGATGCACACAAGACATTTCTAGAGTAAAGCTGAGCTAACCTTCAGGCAGAGTTGGGTTAGAAAGGTCAATTCATCATCCACAGATGGAAAGAGAACGGTACCAATATCTGAATAACACTCTTAAAAGAGAGTTTTATTCAGAGAGGAAACCAATGCGTACATTATTATTTTTTATCATGAATGACAAACAAATTGTGAGATAATAAAATTATAATATCACATAAAAAATATATTAATTGTTTTAAGTTTTGCATTTTTTTTCTTCATCTTCCATCCGGCGTCTTGAGGACCCCCTACCTCCACCAGGTGCCCTCCCAGGGGGCCGAGGACCCCACTTTGAAAAACACTGCCCTAGTGAAAAATATTGTTTTTAGCGCCACTGCATACAGCAGCCATGGTTTATCTGCATTTGTATTTATTGTTTGTATATTTTTTATGTATTCAGTTAACCATTTCTTTGCCAGCAGAAAATCTTTACTGATTGGAGCATTTCAGTAATTAATTGTAGAAACAGTAGAGAGGTTTTCAGACAATTAGCGGGTGAGAATTTGGTGAGATAAGTAATTTCATTTAATTCTCCTATTAAGAGTTTTTGTGACATATTTCTTACTAGAAATTCCCTTTTTAAAACATTTACATTTCTTCTCCATAATCAGAAGTATGTATCAACAAACTTCCTTCCTTCCTCTGGGATTTTGACAGAACCATCTTTTAACCCTGTGTTTATGTTTCTGTCTTGTCTCCGTTCCTTCCAAACATTTCAGATGTGATTATGCTTTACGCTCATTGTAGCCCACTTCAGGAAACGAATACGTTCTTCTCTAACCATTTCTGAAAATCATTTTAGCAGTGGCTTTTATCATCATTGCCCTGTTGGAAGTATCAGTAATGCCAAGGATTTAGTTTTTCTTAAGACTGCTTGATGTTTTTCCCATGGCTTCATTGTAACATTTGACCCAGGGATATGTGATGATACCTTAGGGAAGGCAATGCATGCAACCACCAATGTCATGCAATGAATGTGAGTATTCATGCCACTCAAGGCAGAAACTAAGACATTGCACAATGCTTAAGTGATGGCTACCAAAAAACAATCCCACAGCTCCATGACAGTCCATCTGTCAGAAGTGGAGCCGATCAAACAGTAGACAAGAACTTGCAGTACATATTCACAACAACTCAGCAAACGGCTCATTTTAAGTGCAATTAAATATTGAAAGGATGAAAGTATGCTGAGTTAGAAATTATACCTTGAGGTCTTTTGTGCCATTAGGAAATCAAAGCACAAACAGTACTATGAGATCTCGGCTGGCTGGAAACACATTGAAGGAGCTGGAATATTTTGCTGGGAAGAAACAAGGATACGAATCATTTTCCAAGATAAAGCCAACGTGATGTAGTCCTGGACGGACTCATGGATGTGCCAACTATCCAAACAATCAAAGGTGTCTTGATTTAAGTGTCTGCAATGTATAATTTCCCCTTAAACTGACCGTCATGGATGCAAGGTGAGGTACACTCTGGGAATTTTTCCAGTCCATTTCAGGACAAACAGCCGTACACAGACAAATACCTGAGGCTAATTCAGAGCAACAAATCAGCTAAAATGATACTAAGACATACTAATAGTCATGTTTTTCATAGGTCGGACTGTGGTTGCAGTTTGATGGTCAACTTATTTAAAACAAATAATGACATAAAGTAGGTGGAGGTGAAATTTGGACATTTTGCTGCCTGTTTATGGCATGACTAAACTAACATGTTTGACAAGAAAAACACAGAAAACAGCCCATCACATTCAAGCAGCCTATTTTTACACCACCTTGGAGCCAAATATCAGACTACAAAGCAATGTGAGTGAGCATGTTTAACTGAATGTTTAAAATCGCACAACTTTCCAGAAGCCAAAGGCGAAGGGTTTCGCTTCACTGCTTCTAAATGTGATCCAAACATCTGGATCTGAAAAAAGAAGTTGTCCTACATGATGAAAATTAAAACCTAAAACCTTAAATGTACTGTCTGCTGTTGAGTTAAGAGAACACCTCAGGCATGCCTTATACACTAAAAGCTGCTTCGTGTTGTCTGATAGGCTACTGTCCTGCTGTGATGTCATGAGTGCTTGCTTTAAATAAGGGCAACAGGCTCAGCTGCTTCAAAGTGTGGCTGAGGGCTGAAAAGACTGAGTACACACATGAGTGAGAACAAAGAGGAAGAGGCAAGACAAAGTGCTTGTGTAAGTGCTTTCGATACCTTATCAAAAGGTGGAGCCCGACCTACTGAGAAGCACGGTTCGAATATGATGTGGATTTAAAAGAAGTGCGAGAATGAAATCATTGGACTGAAGAGAGCAAAGCCTGGAGGTAAGAAAACAGCACTGCAGGTCTGCTTCACATGCATGAGCTCCACTCACTCTGGGTCCCTATGGGTGCTTTTACACATGCATTAAAAAACTACTCTTATTGCTAATTAAATGTTTCAGGGAAATATTATTAAAATAGTTAATGCCATATTGTTTATCTTAAGGATTTGGATTCAAATTAGAAATCAGAAATAAGATAATCCACTTTTTTTCTGAAGGATTTTATCTCACATTAAGTAAACCATTCAGATTCTATGTCTCATATTCTCACAGCTGCCAGGGGGAATAAAATAGTTTAGCAGAAAATAATTTTTCGAACAAGTCAAAATGATCATACATGGTTTGTGTTATGTGGACAGTTTTCAGTCTTGTACTGGTGACAGTTTGTTCTGGTGACATGTTTATTCTACCGAGTACAGAAAGAGCTGGGGGTTTAGGCGCTTATGAATGTTGTTTAAATGTGTGACTGTGAGTCTGTTTTTGTAGTTAGGGCTGTGAGTAATTCATCTGAGCTTCTGCTGAAATATTTAGATATTTCCACATCAAACAATCATTTAGGGTTGATCCTGGGTGTCTTTTTAGTGATCTCTAGCATGGTCAGAGTCCATGTTGCAAGCTGTGTTTTTGCAGTTAATTGTCAAGAAAGTTATTGATCAGCTGTGCAGGGCAGCAAACAGTTCAAGAGTCATCAGTTTAAAGGGCAAACAGGGGAGCTGATAAACACTGGTCAAAGCAGATATTTATAAATCATAATAAAATGCTTGTAATATTAAAGTAATGCCTGAAATGGTGACCCCCACTACATCATCGCCTCTCATGGCCAGGCTCTCCTCTCCTCATTCATTATGTCTGAAAGGGCCAGGTGAGCACAGGTAATGAAAGATTGATTTTTAAAATGAGTTTCCTGACAATCCATCATATTTCTGACATGTAATATGCACAAGGATGTGGGCTTTTTCTTTCTATAATGACAAATCCTCTAAAAATCCAAAAGAAAAACTTACAATTCTGACTCGAAAAAAAAAAAAAAAATCTGAGATCCTTTTGAGCTATGTTGACAGCATAGGAGAGCAATTTCTCTGATTTTCATAAAACAACAAACCTGTCATGGTCTGCCTTAGCACTTTCAATGTGTCCTAAATATTCAGCACCTTTGCTCGCTGGCATGCTGTGGAGCTGAGTAAACATATGCGAATCAATGCCGCTCCTTACAGATGCCATCAAATTGCTCTCCAAGTGTTTAGATTATGCTGGAATTAAGCCAGTTAACATTTTAAGCGGAAAATCCCGTTAACCTAACAGCATTTACAGACATCCTGTACATGTGAATGTTAAATAAGAGATGCCACTCCAAAGGAATAGCTTTGATTATTTTAAACTGAGGATTTGTGAAGTTTTTATTTGTAAAATGTTCCTTTTCCTGCAGCAAAAAAAACAAAAACAAAAAACAAAACAAAAATCCCAGTGGTAGAGACCTAACAGCCAGATGGCCACTTTATTTTAGCTGATTTGATTTATTTCATTAGTGTCTAAAGTCAGTCCTCATGGGTTGGCATTCTGGATCAACACACCTGAATCAAATGATGGTTCATCAGCAGGCCTCTGCAGAAGTTTGACAAACCGGGTAGTTGGGCCATTTGAATCAGCTGTGTTGGAGCAGACACATCTAAAAACGGCTGACCTCGAGCAGTGGAGCTGGACACCCATGATCTACTTAAAACAACTAAAACTGAAACAAACTCAACTCTATAGGACGTAGTTCTACATTAATGTCTGTTGGGCTGAAACTGTATTATATAACTTTACAGTGTAATTCTGTAAAAAATAATATTTAGATCATGGCATCAATTAGTTTACAGGATATGTGACTTATTCTGCTCTAATTCATAATTTTCCATACCTTAGCTGATAATAAATGTAACCAGTAAGGACATGCTTTTACTAAAAGTACTGCAAGGTGTATTTTGTACTGAAAGGCTGGTGTTTCTTAATAAAATCCAGATTTTATTTCAGCATGTCAGTTGATAAAATCTTCATTTACTTGATTTACATACAGAATTTGTGCTGTTATTTCTGTTTGTATAACTCCATAGTGTTCAGAGAACAAAGCTTGAAGTGATTAAATTCATCAAGCTTCATTCCTCTGATTTTTTTTTCTTTTGCTGCGGTACCTGCAAACTTTCACTCTCTGCTTGTTTTTGCTCATGTGCTGTAAAAAGAGACATTAAGACCAGTTTAGATGGCTATATTATAGCTTTACAACTATATTATAGCTTTACAACTATATTATAGCTTTACAACTATATTATAGCTTTAGGTATAAAATGAGGGGATGGTGTAGATTTTCAGCAGCAGCTCTGCTCAAAGACAAATATACCACACAAAGACACTAAGCAGGTAGGTTTAGTTTCAAATAATTTAGCTTTAGGATAAACAATCTGCATAAAGAAACTAGATGTTGCTCCAAAAGTTAACCAGTTTATGCCTTTTGTTACTTCCAGTTAGAGCAGAGTGGGAAGAGCTACACTCATCATGTAAAAAACAGTATTGTTGTGTTCACAGTTCATTTTCGGAACACATCATTGATACATGTGTTGTTTTCTCACAAGTAATGTTACTTGCATTACTGCCAAGTAATGTTGGCAGATCTTTAAGACCTTAATTTACTTGATCAGCTGATCAATTACCTCATTTCCAGACAGCAATGAAACCTGGAAATGCACCGAAAAAATATTACAAAATCCAAAGGTTTATCATCCTATTGCTTCAAACAATGCAAATACAGTCGTAACTTTTAAGGTTCAACCGTGTCTTGAGAAAATTTAGCCCTTTAAATTCTGGTAAGACAATATATCATGTGGATTTGAATGTTTTCCATTTGAGTTGTTTTAATTAGTCAGTTTGACTATTTGTTAGGTTTACTTTCTACAAAATCACTGTGATATGACATCTGTCTACTACAGTTTCAAAACAACCACTGATAATAACTTTACAAAACTTCACTTAAAGCATTCAAACTCTCCTCTTTAAGTTTACCGCTAGAATCATGAGAAGATAGACGTCTTTCCTACAAAGACCTCCATATCCTGAACCCGCATCTACCTAACAGTGCCAACCATCCCCCTATGTTTGACATGGACGGTCAGAATAGCAAACAAGGAGCAGCATGCATCTGCTGTCAATTAGGCCATGTAAAAGAGGCGTTCTGCTCAGCCAGTCAGCCCTGTGTAAATAAAAGTTCCTTCATGATGTTCATGCATGATGTGTAATAAATAAATGCTTATGAAATCAAAAGTTTATAGTCATAGCCTGATGCAGAAAAGGTCACCTTGTTTTAATTCTCTTGCATGTCTGCTTACTGCAGCTATAAAGGTTTTGTTTTACTACCATTTCTTTCAGCTCCGTGGTTTTGGTCGACCTGTACCTGCGTTGCATAATGCGCATGTTACTTTAGCTGCAGGCTGTCGCAAGCCCAGCTTGTTCCCAGCTTCAACCTACTTGCTTGTTGTATACTTAAGTGGGCTGATTAACTCAGAGTGCAAAAACAAAGTGTACAAAGTGTACATGTTCATGGAACATGTTCAGAAAAATGTTCCGGACTTCTGATGACATGATGGTTTGAACAGAGACATCTGTCTTCAATATCCTTTTCTGCATTTTGCAGAGCTCTTTGACTTAATAATAACTTCAATATAGGATGGAGACAAAGTGAAGAACTGACACGATATTATAGCAGCATCACATGCTGCCAGTGGATTTAATGTTATCTGACTGAGATAAAAATGCAAAGAGATGCAAAAGGCTGAAACTGATGAACTCATGATAACACCAAGGAACATTTGGTTTCTTCTGTGAATGACCACAGCTCATGAGACAGAGACATGCCCTCCGCCCACTGATCCAGAACACCAGCGAAAGGTTTGGTAAAAGCATTTACATTAAACATAGCCTGTTTTAAATGCCATTGGCCTTTTGCAAAGAAATAATTATCTTCATATAATCAGATAGTATAATTATGTAAAATTCATTTCAGAAGAGGGGTGAGCAGAAGTCTGATTCTGCATTCAGAACAATCGTTAAAGGAGACACCCTTCCTCACTTAGCACTGCATATTACTTCCTGTATACTGACATTACTTCTGTAAATGTGTCGCTCCACTGCAAAGTGAAAACATTAGCAGGTTGATGCAACTTAAGAATTTGAGTCATAAACTAGAACAGTATTGAAAAAAATAATAGTATCGTCTGTCCCACATGGTGACAAAAAATCTTCTTTGAAATTCAGAATTTATACAGAAATGTTATGCATTAAAAATTCCTCTGACTCATAAGTGGTTTTTACTCCAGTTTAAGGTGCAACTGCAGTGAAATAATCACAAATTATGGCTGTAGAACTTCAGTCCTCAACAGATTATTTTCCTCTCCTTTGCTTTAAACGTTAGAGACATTGAAGTCTGGAAAATCATGCAATGTTAATAACAGTCATACTTTTCTTCCCCAAGTTTTTGAGGGATTTTAAAGTTGTTTTTAAGTTCAAAAGTATCATCGCTTGGACAAAATCATCGATTATGGTTTGAAAATAATAATGAAAAAATGTAATTGCAAAGGATCGTCTTAGTTTCAGTTCCTTTCCAATCCGTTTCAGCTGCACATTTGCAAAAGGTTTGTAATGAATATAGTTTTAATCACATTCTGAAGCCTGCTGTTGCTGTAAGTGGAGATGTGTGTCACTAAATAACTGAAGCTGAACCAGCAACACTGCTGTAACAGGAAGAAGTTTGGAGACAATTTAATTTTGTTCTGGAGTTTAACCAGAGCAAATAAAAAACAACATTTTAGCAGTGAGACTTCAAGCTGAAATCCTTGTTAGAGCTCTTATTCACTTGGATCTGCATCTGTGAAATACAAAACTCTTCACAGATTCATCTTTTCCCAACGTTTGCAGAGAATTTAAATCAGCTGTTGTGAATGACTCAATGGTGAAAGTTTTTATTTAAAATTCACATGGAGACATTTTTCCTGTCTGCTACAGACTGCATATTTGGCAACACAGACGAGAGAGAGTAAAGGTTCAGAGATAGTCAGATCAATAAGCTGGACTTTTATTTGTTTTATGTTTATCCTCACTTAACTTTAGCCTGTAAGAAACCGTAGATGTTACACATATGTTATTGAACCATAGCATCACATGCATCGTAAAAGATTTAACCTCCTCTTATTGTTGCTTCTCAGATTATTTTAACCATTATCACCAACTATTTTTCATTGTTTGTCTTGACAGTAGATCATGGGAGGTGTGACCTTTGCGCAACCATCCATGAACCAGACACAACTCGGCAACATCACCAATTCACCACCAGAATATAACGATGTGGAGCTTGTGCTGCTTGGTGTTGCCATGGCTATTCTTGTCCTAGCAATAGTTTTTGGTAAGTGTAAGAAATGATGCCAGTCACAGTGTCTTGCAAACATTTTCACACATGTGGAACTGTGTGGCATTTTGCATTACAAACACAAATCTCCATGCGTTCCTTTGGATTTTATGTGATAGACCAGCAGCAAAGAGTTGGAAGCAGAGGAAAATAGAAACAAGTCTTGAGCAACTTTAAGTATAAATATTGTGGTGTGTATTTGTTTTCACCTACACTGAGTGGATAAACCACTAGTTGCTGCCAGTTTTTGGGATTATGTCTCCTTCATCAATAAATATCCAGAGACTGGCATTTTTAATATTTGTCTTTCCTTAACCTCAGTCAGTGTGGATAAAGAGCATATGTGAACAAAAGATTTTCCAATCTTGTCAAAGATTTATGAATTTGGGCTTTGACTAGGCCATTCTAACACTTCAGTAAACCTAGATCTAAACCATTATTTTACATCTCCAGCTGCCTGTTCAGGATATCTGTCCAGCTGCAAATTAAAAATCTGATTCCTAAAACATGTTTTTCTGTTTTATCCGGTGACTGCATTGTTCTTCATGATGCTGTTCACTGATGTTTACAGTACAGGTTACATTACAAACAGGTGGACTCTTTTTAACAATTAGTTGACCTCAGAAAGTGACTGACTGCAGTTGATTTTATTTATGGGGCTGAAAATAAAGGCATGGTACACCATTCAGTGTTTTAATTTTGAGAAAATTAATACTCTTTATCAATTTTCTTTCACTTTATACTCATGTACCAATTCGTACCGTGTTCACATCCAAGTAAAATTAATTGTGGTTGCAGAGTAACAGCATTTAAAAAAAATATGTTTGTAAGGAGCTGCACTTTCATTGTCTGGATTATTGGAGAATCAAACCTGATTGATTTTATGCTTTTAGTTCAACAGTCATTGTTTTCTGTGCAGGTAATGTGATGGTGATTACAGCCATCCTGCGCTTCCAGAGGCTCCAAACTATCACCAACCTCTTCATTGCCTCACTGGCGGTTGCTGACCTCATCATGGGTGTGATTGTGGTCCCTTTTAGCTCCAGTAACATCCTGCTGAAAAGCTGGATGTTCGGAAACTTCATGTGTGACTTCTGGACGGCAACTGATGTGCTGTGTGTGACAGCCAGCATAGAAACACTGTGTGTGATTTCTCTGGACCGCTACCTCGCTATTACGAGGCCTCTCCGCTACCCAACACTGCTCACCAGGTAAGGCAGCTTTTAAACAATGAATATATGAATAATTTTAATTTTGTGGAGAAGACTGTGTTTAAAATCAGCATCTCAGTCAGATAAATTCTGTAAGTTGTTTTCAGTCTATTGGCAAAGTTTCTTGGATGCGGCCAGAAGAGCAGATTGATGGAAAATGTTAACCTAGAATCCCTTTAAGACTTGAAACACTTTTTGCAAATGTATGCAGTTGACCTTAGCTATCCATTTCCTAGCTAATAGGTTAAGCTCTGCCAAGGTAATTATTAACCCTTTTAACTCTGCATCATTATGTACTTCCACCAAAACGTGCAGTTCTTTAATGCTCCTGAAAGAACATGGGTTTGTTTTTTTCTTACTGTTAAGATGTAAAAATCAACCTGTTGGCGTGTTGTTGAAAGTAAAACGGGAAACTGAACAGCTGGCTTACAATACCACCTGTTTACAAATGAATGCCATGTTTTACCAAGCATGCAAAATCTGAGACACTTGATACTTAACTCATACTTGAGTTTTTGCTTTGTGTTGTGTAGACCAGAGGTGGATTCTGGTTTAAAAATGAAAAGAATCTGGATTTGAAAAATTCCAAAGGATTGAGATCACTGGACCTTTTCAGTTCTTGCTTTGACAAAAGGCTTGAAGTACCTACTGCCCGCCAACTCTTTAGCTCAAACAGACTGAATGAGTTGAGCTTTGACTAATATGGACTTAGATTTTGAGTTTTCATATGCAGAGTTTACAAAAACTGTATTATATGCCAGGCACTGTGTTGATCTAATGTTCACGGAGTAAAAGTTAGAGTTGCAGTCCAGTAAACTGCTGCACATGAAAACATCAGCGAGAGGAAGATGTGGATCGACTCAACTCTACACAGTGCAAAGGGATACAGGAGAACCTGAAAGTCGCTTCTGTGACGTAGCTAGTGACTCCACCCCTTAGCCAATCAGTGACCGACGGTTTTCTGATATCAGCAAGCTTCCAAATAAGTAAGTTGCATAAAAGTGGGAGCGCGTCGGGTTGAGTCAAGCCACATTGAGTATGTGGAAAAGAGTTATTTATGCACCAGACAGCACAAAGAAAATGCTCATCATTGCACTTCGTCTGACATTGCGATTAAATAACTCAAGCAACAGAAATTTTATGCTGGGAAATTTCAGAGCTTTTGAAACAGTAATGTTTTATAACCTTGTTTTACACTGATACCATCAACAGGCCCTTGCCCCCAGCTTTACCCTTGTTTGACATTTCAAACTGCAGATGCATATCTGAGAATCCCTAACACAAACTAATCTGGTTAGTCTCCAAGCAGCTCATGCTTCAAACTGTTTTCATTCCAAGTCTCATAAAACGGCCGTTTTCAGAAAGGTTGTTTAGGAAACCACTCTGCAAAGTGGTTTCCTAAAAGGCAACATTTACAGGTAAATGTTTTATAGCAACAACAACTGTCACTGACTGTCACTGATCTGCATGCTCTTCATCGTCTTCCCCATGTTTAAACTTCCTTGTCTCTTGATGCTTGCCAGGGCTCGGGCTTTCATGGTGGTGTTTGTGGTTTGGGCAGTGGCCTCGCTCATCTCCTTCCTGCCCATCTATCTCAAAGTCTGGGTGTCAGACAAAAAATCAGCTGTGGAATGCTTATTCAATGAGACCTGCTGTGAATTCAACACCAGCGCAACGTATGCAGTCTGTTCTTCAATTGTGTCTTTCTATCTGCCGCTGGTGGTGATGATTTTCCTTTACACCCGTGTATTCCAAGAGGCTCAGAAGCAGCTGGAAAAGATCAGAGGAAGGCAACGGCACTTCTACCACCTGCATAAGTCTGCACCGTTGACTTACACAGAAGACAGTCCTGTACTGAATAAACTCAGGACAGGAGCGGATGGAGAGGACAGACTGAACATGCAGCAAACTGAGGATATAGACAACAGGCAAGAGGAGAAGAGAGAAGAAAATAGAGTGAGGATGGAAAAAGAAGGCAGGCAGTCTGCTGCAAAGCGTCTCAAGTTCTGTCTTAAAGAGCACAAAGCTGTGAAAACTCTGGGAATCATCATGGGAACTTTCACATTGTGTTGGCTACCATTTTTCATTGTCAATATCGTCGTAGCGTTTGTAGATCTCGATAAATATAAGGAACTAATTCGATTCCTTAACTGGCTAGGTTACTCCAACTCTGCCTTCAACCCCCTCATCTACTGTCGCAGCCCTGATTTTCGGCACGCCTTCCAGGAGATCCTTCATTTGAGGGGAAGAATCTCTGGATGGAAGGGGGCATGTGGATGGTGTAGTGAGAGACACAACTACCCCAATTCTCCACAGAGGCAGAATGGGAACTCAGACACGAATCGTGTCAGGGATCTGGACACTCAGGAAACATCAGGGTGGAAAGGAAGTCTGGAGAGCTCCATTCAGGACAGCTCTCTGACCCTGGCCCAACCAGCATCATGCTCAGAGCAGGTTCTAGATGTAGCTCCCGGCTCCTTGACCAGTTGGGAGGAAAACAGCTCCCGCAGTAGGACTTGTAAGGAAAATGTTGCTTCTATTGCTTGACCAAAAACAATAACATTAGACCTTAAAATGAAGGGGTGGTATCATGTAAAATGAACTTTTTTGAGCTTTGCACAATATATTAATTTTATTCCCTTATCAAAAACATACATGCAGTGTTACCTCAATTCTTTAAAGCACTCCTCGGAGTTACAGTTCCCAAGCTTCTGCCTCACAGAGCTTCCCTCTCATTAGAGTCTGCCCCCCTACTCAGCTCCTTCAGACTAGCCAGCACCAATTAGCAAACACCTGGTGGAACTGTGCATCTGCTGAGTTTATTATACGAGCTACTTCTCAGTGCAACGCTGGTAAAAACGTTGCTAAAAGGTTAATGGAGAAAATGCTGTTGTGATGACTACCTGAAGGCGAAGTTGCAGAAGGACAAGGAGTTTTTAAAGAGACAGAGACCCAATTACAAGGAGTTAAATCAGGAATTAAAATAGTCTTTAAATCCTGTTTGATATGTAACAACTGAAGGTAACATAGACGGTTGATTATGCTATAAAATGGCACTATATGCCTGGAAAACACATAATACTGCCCCTTTAAAAATACACTTCTATATAGCATTAGCTAATTTGTTTATCTTTGATGGACTGATTGAATTTTCTGGTGTATAACATGGCTGGATAAGATTATATTGTCTCAGTGTTACTGTGACTTTACTTGATATCCATGTTCCTCTTCTTCTCTATTGCAGTTTTTTAATTGCATTCAATAGACTGAAATACAAAGATCAGTGATCTAAGATGAATTTAGCATTCATACATTCACCCAAACAAAAAATATGGAATATTTTCACACATAAGACACAAAATTGTGACATGCCATCAAATTCTCTGGATTCTTTTAAGGAGGTGACTGTTGGAACTAATTACCTATAATAATGGAAAATATTAACATTGTAAGATTTGATTCATGTTATGAAGCAGTCCATTTGATCCTAAGCCAATCTGGTGTTTTAAAAAAATCAATCTGTAAACAAAAGTTAAAATAAATTAAGACTTAAAAACAAGGCTTGAGTTTACAAGATAATTTACATATAAGAATATAACATATAATATTATTAGAAATGCTATCGTCTTTTGATACAATGAATGGTACTCGGTTGCATCCATCTCTGTGATGTACTTTGTGGGATATTTGAGATTTTATTTATCCACAAGTGGAGTTAGTGGTTTAATTTATAGCGTCTTACTGAAATCTTTACACCACTTGAGGATTTTCAGAAATTGATCACTTAACAACAAACCTCATTGTATAGATCAACATGAAGTGAGTAAAAAAAATATATATATATAGATTTTATTTTTACAAATTTGAAAATGTAAAGTGTGGCATTGATCTGTTGTTGCCCAACCTTTATTCTGATACCCCTAAAGAAAGTGTAGGTGTGGATAAAGGACTCATCTAAAAGTTGCAGGACATCTTCAGGACTCCTTTCATCTAAAAGGTTTTGATACAGATTTTATTTTCCAAGAATTTTGAATCCCTTTTGTGCCACCTTCATTTATAGACAATGAATTTTATGTATTGCTTTGTGTGGGTCTGTCACACATAATTGCAGAAAAAGGTTGTAACGTGATCAAATATGAGAAACTTAAAGGGGTATTTGATAATTTCCCAAGCCACACTGGTCCACAAAGTAAAATATTTTACTAAGCATACAACACAAGTTTTTAAAAAAGGTCTGTTATTGGAAGTGACACAGTTTTGAATCATTCATTCATTTAGAAAATAGTACATTGTATGTTGGAATAATGGATCATTTGGTCAGTGAGATGAAAGACTGGTTTTCACCGGCAGCTACAGAGGTGACTGTATTCCACAACATCCTCTTCATATTTCAACTATCTTAAAGTTTTACATGAATGTTGAAGGTACTGGTATGTGCATATTGTTCAGTTGCAAAAAATAAAAGATGATTTTATCACTGGTGCATCTGTTAGCAATGGTAGGGAAACATCCAAAAACGGCACATTTGGGTGATGTTGGACTTTATTTAGCTTAGCAAAGTTACTGACTATGTACAATTTTAAGAGCTACAGAGAAAGTACCTCATTACTTTAACAAGTGATTTCAGGTTACTTCATTCCAAGCTGTTTATTGAAAACTGTTAAAAATGTTCTCCTTTAAAAATGTGGCATTTGTTGCCAGTTTATTGCAGATTAAATTACACATATATATGGTAGTGTAAGAATGTGTTGAGCTATATCGTATCTGTATATTCCATAGCAGATGTGAATGTTTAGATAGGTCAAATACCCTTTGTTATTGGGACAGTAAAGATTTAAACTGTTGTCCGTGTTAACCACAATGTGTTGAGTTTACTGTGGTTGATTACAATCACATTTATCGTGATGATGCATCAGAAAATGTTTTAGTTAAATGTCTGTATCTGCCTAAGGCCTGGTTGCCCTGATCATATATTAAGCAAAGTTAATTTGTCCGGTGAAGTTGTTGCATCTTTGGGTAAAAGACTGAAATGTTATGAGATTTGTTTTAACAGCCTTGTTCTGAGTTATCCATGGAAATAAACGTGGAAAACAAACTTGTTTAGGTTTTTAGCCTTTCCAGGATAAGCAGCACATCTTATAAATATACTGGAGTCAGATAATTTTTTCTTAAATCTTTTTTTACAAAAATAAAACTCCACCCATTTAAGTTGGACTATGTGTCAAAGCAATTAACGTAGAAAATCAGTCTTATCTGTTACAGCTTTAATTCGTTTGCTCTGACTGCAGATCTGGGCCAGCTGTTTTTTTGAAGAGTGATTTATGAAGGCCAATAAAAATCTGCCTAACTTCGGTTTTAATGAACGGTGACTAAAATAAATGGGCTTCTGTGTCTCATCATGCATTAAAAGCTTTCAGAGTGAGAATTGGCTGCTGCAACAAAAGATGAATTAATTGTAAGACTTCTCACATGTCTTAACCTGTAGAGTCCCTTGTTTCCTGTTTTGAAAAGTGACAAAGAAAAAGAGGTCTCAATGCTCCATCTGATGGAGCATTGAGACCATCAGAGGTCTCAATGCTCCATCAATGCAATATATATATATATATATATATATATATATATATATATATATATATATATATATAAATAATATATGTGTGTGTGTGTGTGTGTGTGTGTGTACATATTGTTGCGGGAATCAATCAAGGACGTTTTGCTCCTTTGTAAAAAAAAAAAAAAAAAAACTGTTTTTTTAATTAAAAAAATGAGGCAAGATTGTACAACTGTTTTTTTTTCACTACTATTATATATAAATACAATAGTATATATAGTATATATATATTTCACACCTTTACAGGTATGACAATTAATGTGGAGGATGGAATATGGTTAGTGATTAACCTTCATCTCATAATAAAGTAGCTGTAGACCACAAAGAAGAAAAAAACCCTTATTGCTTTGCTAATAAGGTTTTTCCACTTCCAGACAAAACGTCCATTATGCAGAAAAACCCCTGAACTTTGCTCACTCTGAGGCAGAAAGTCTTACTCGATGTGGGGCTGGGTAAGATGAGGGGTTGTGGGAGCTCCACTTATGATAAGATTATGAAGAACAGCTCCATTATTCTGAGCTCCTTCCCGATAAACCTCAGAAGCATTTATGGTGGGATAATTGTGTATGAGATAAACATCTGAGGCCCTTAACTTGTGACTATCAGATGGTTTCTTTTGCTTCCCTGAATTCATTTTCTATCATCACATATTCACTGGATCTATTCCTTTGCCTCTCAGAACAACACTGTGAAGCCGCGCTTTCATTTTGGTCAACCTTCTTTAGCTCTTCAAACAATGCAACGTTTCAGACAGTGCAGAGCAGATGATTATTGTTCAGTTGGGCCCACAGTTTAGATAAGGTTGTCTGAAACGCTCACTTTACAAACACAGTGCTTCGTTTACGCGCGTTTAAGTGGTTACACAGAATAAAATGATCTGAGAAGATGCTCAGTTGATGCAGAATGTAAAAACCTTGTTTTGTTGTTGTACTTTTTGTATTGTGTAAGTGTAATTGGTTGTGTGTTTGACATTTGAAAGACTTCCTGGTGTAAGGTAAATAGTTTTCATATTTAAACCAACTTGCAAATCTTATTTTCCAATTATTAAAAAAAAAATTACAGCCAAAACATGCATTTGCCTGTAAATATTAAGCACATATAAAGCACAGAGACTTTTTCTATGGTTTAAAATTAAAATTAAAATTTATTCCTGGTATTCTTCAAAGACAAAACAGAAACACTTTACAGATTTACTTTGTGAAAATGTCTCATCCTAAAGCCCTTCATATTGCAAGGCCAAAATCTCAAAACATTGAAACAACTTTAAATTATGCTTGTGCTCTCAGTTTCAGAAGCTTTTTAGAGAAAAGCATTTTTGTTTTCTACCTCCTTAAGATCTAAATGAATGTCATCTCACTGTTGTAAATATTTATTCATAAGCTGTTGTATATGTTTGTAAGTAAAAGAACAAAGTTTGAAACTGTGTCATTTAAATATGTCCCTTTGCTTGTCCTCAGTTGGTGAGTGTGTGTTTATTTCTGCGAGTCAGTTTTGTGGTGCTGTGGGAGAAGGAGGGGAAGCAGAGCCAGTCAGATCCAGTTTTATTTTTTATTTTTTTTCTCAAATACCCACTGCTTGATTTCTAAAAACAGCAAAGCAAAAGATTTGGGGAGTTTTTGTACAACACCTTACAGTTACAGCTGCTGCTGTCATACAAGAGTCTCTAAGAGACAGCTGGAGCTTTTATGGAGTAAGGCTCTATTAAAAAAGTTGTAAGCACTTCATTTCCTTAGCTGCAATTGTTGTGTGTCTTCACTTAGTACAAAAACTGTTTTGTTCCTTAGCTAAAGCTAACAGCTCATATGAGAAGACAACAACTTGTCTAAGCTAACAACCAGCCAAACAGGTTAAACTCAGACTAGCCCTAGACACAAACTGCTATTTCAAAAGTTGTTTACTAGTCCAAGAATGTACAAGAAAATAATGGTCATTTTGAGATTCTAACAACTAGCACAAAAAACTACAACAGCTAATCAGAGAAGCTAACA